GCATTTCATGACCATTAAATAGAAATTGCAAGTGTATTGTGTACTTAGTCTGAGGCCTTAGGTGTCTATTGAAAGTTCTTCATTATTTGTTAGCTGCCTTAAAGCGAAATTTTGACGGCCAAGTAACTTAAAAGTTTTGCTACTTTGCCGAAAAAAATCTGCAGCGCAGGTCATCTTCACGTTTCAGGGGTTATCGTAATTTCAGATAGAAACGTTAGATATTTCAGATATAGTATATATTACTATATAAATACCAATTCGTATCAGGAGAAACGAAAGGTGTTAGGTGTCTATTGGCAGGCTTTTTCCGTTCAGAGATTATTGCTTCTTTGAAAGGTTGGAATTAATCCGAAGCCTAAGCAGATTGCCGCCAAAAATGTTATAGTGTGCGGAAAAAAAATAGCGCCAGGAGAGTAAACACACCATAAATACAGTGTTGCATAGAGTTCATTACGAGAAGACTATCTATATAAAGCCTATTTAGTCTTATGTTAATTTCGAAGAAGCATATGAGTCGTCAACTGTTTTAGTTCATAATTCATATGAAGGTGACAACTTATCAGATACCAGTTTAACATAAGTTTAAAGTATATTTCAATTTCATATACTGTAGTATTATTTGTAATTAAAATAGAAATTTAACTAAGAGAAGTGTTTTTGCAAATGGTTTAATTAACGTAATTTATTTAATATATAGTTTCGTTGTAATGTTAGAATTACAGCAAAAAAAACTTTAACTAATGCAGTTAAACAAATATGGGAACAATATTATGAAATTTTATTATATTATTTGTATAAGCAATATTATATGTACGTATTTAGCAAATCAAGACTATATAGAAAAATATTGTAATTTTTGCTTACGTAATGTAAGTCGAAAGTACTAGTAAATTAGATAACTTAGCTTTTGATTGACATAAATTCATTGAATAAACTACTTGCTGGCTAGCAAACTACCTCGTTTAAGATAAGCCATAAGTTTTAATGTTATGGAATTAAAAATCTTTGAGCAAATTTTGTAAAGTTTCGAAAACGCTTAAAGAAGTAAAATCTCAGAAGAAATCAACATTCGCGTCCTTCCTTTTACAACAACATTGAGTGGCTCCACTTAAGAAAACACACAATTGTAATGTATGACGGAAATATGTTTGTCTCTAGTGATTCTTCACAAAATCACTTGACAAATGCACAATTTTGTTGGACTTTGATGCAGTCGCAGACATGGTGGCCACTAAAACGAGTAAAATATTTCAAATAAATGAAATCTAGGAAGTCAATTGCACAAGGTTTCTCTCATATTCCCGATTAAAGTAGAAAAGTACAACAAAACTGTGCTTTACCACAAAGGAAAAATAACTCTTGGCAACAAGTCAACAATTCAATGTCATCAACTTGATAGAAAGCAACAACTTCAAGTCGGTCTTCTTAGTGGAGTGGTGCGACTTTAAGGTTCTAAGAATATGATGTCACATTACTTTTACGTATACAGCACTGCTGTATATTTACATTCGCACTTTTGCCCCTCTCACCTTTTTTGGAATTGTAAGATGGCAACGAAGTGTAGTTGTCAATTCCAATCGAATTTATTGTACATTAAGTAGGATTTTATATCAACTCGAGGTACTTGCAGTTGCAATCTTTTTTATATGTTAAATTAAAGAGTAAAGAACATCTTATGGCAATAGAAAAGATTATTTGCAGTCGCCACAATTGTGGAGTATGACTGACAAATTGAAATTGAACTAGAAAGATACTTTCTATGAGTAAATATATTTTCTTCTGGAATTATTTTTGTACATTTACAATCTGCTCACAGTACAAAAAAAAAGGTGTATTACTTTGATATACTAATGTTGAATTCAATGCAGTTGTTTTTCATTCTATAAACGCAGAATACACAATTAACGCAGGTATTTATGTACATAAATAGTTTAATTAAAATATGTCATTTATTTATTTAATCAAAGTATTGTAGTTGAAATTCAATATGTTGAATGTAAGAAAATTTCAAACATTTTAATTGCATACTTTTAGGCGCATTAATGCAAAAGTAAATAAAAATTTTTATTTTGCAATTGCTTTGCAAAGGAATACTTTATTATATTTAAACAAATATATTCATGTATAACCATCTTTACCTGGTACCAAACTACCACTTGTCCACACAACCTCCATATATCCAACATGCATTTATAAATAATGATATTAAACCATAAAAGCACGTTGCATTGCAAGGTTCGCAATTGGCAAAAAAAACTGCATTGACTGCAAAATTGCAGTCAACTGCTCCACTCTTGCAGATACACTCCAGACTCAGATACAAAAACTGTACTTGGCATTTATTTTACTTGCAATTGTGCAGCAATTGAAATGTGCAATATAAAATTTATAAAAAAAATTATTATTAATTTTATGGTACATGAGTGCAACAAGCCCGCTGTTGTTGTTATCCTGTCCAGACGGATATGAGTTATGTTTTGATTGTATTGGCCATGCTCGAGAGATAAAGAATCGCATTGATTTGATTATGATGCAAATGAATTACTGTATGTAAGTGTTTTGATTTTATGTATTTTTTATTTGTACGACTTTATGGTTGTGTCTGGTATGTACACTTGTTTCCAATAAAAATCATATTTTAATTATTTTCATCCATGAATAATTGTGAACTACGAAGAATTTTTTTCATTTCCTATATGGAAAAATGCTTAAGTAAGTTTATATTGATTATATAGATGGGTTCATTTACCTCTTATTGAACTTCAACGTTTTATTTCACTTAACTTTAGTTGGCAAAAACGTACTCTTCAGAGTAGACAGAAGTGTTTATTTAAATTAATGCCTAAATTATTTAATTAATTTAATGTAATATTTTTTTGACCTACAACAGTGACTTGCAATATATAAAGCTAGTTAAAAAAGTGTCTTCGAAGATCTAGATAATGGGATATGGGCTTTCAATGTAAAAATATTCCTTTCAAAATTCTTTAATCGACAAATTCGATTTCTGAACAAACTGAACGATACTAAATTAGGTTAATTCACTGAGAGTTTAGCAGTTTCAATGCGATTGCTTGATAAAAAATTGGTTCCAAGTATTGATTGATGAGGAGTCACATTATCCTGCAACTAATGCTTACTTTCCTCTGTGGGATTTTGGAAAAATATGAACACGGGGTACCGAAAGCTTGCAAATTTCAAAATTGAGTTCTAAATTAAAGATTTGACGTCGTTGAGTAAACACTAGGTAACAATAGCCTTGGAGTTGTTAAAAATCCTCACTATGTTGTGAGTGAAGTTTGTAACGACACGGATTTTCCCGTTTCGTTATAATTTATGCTGGGGTATCCTCAGTCTTTTCCAGGGGGTCGCTACAATAAATTTATATTCGCGGAGACAGGACTTCTCAAAATAAAAGTAATGCATTTAATTTTTTAAATACTGATTTATTTAAAATATTAATAATTCATTAAAATAATATGTAATAAAGAAAAGAATTCAATTAAACGTAACAAGATAAACCTGGAGATTAACTATTTGTACAATTTTCAATGATTTATATAAGATAGCTTTATATAGATTATTATTTCTTCAATCGTATTTCAATAACTTGAGATTTTAAACGCATGCAAATTCTGAATGTATTTTCTTAGTCGTATTTCAAAGAGATTGGTTAAATTTAATTAGATATGACTTGAGATGTTTCCTTGTGACCAGCTGTATTTGGAAGCTGTCCCTGTAGAGTTCACAGTGGTGGCTGATCCGGTTTCGTGGTTGTACCTTAGTATAATTTCGGTGATTATTCTGCTCGATGAGTACCTAGTGGACGAAACGGAGTTAGTGAATTTATATATGTCTTGTTATATTGAATATATATATAAAGTGTCTCCGCGCCTGGACTTAAAACCGCCCATGCACTAAACAATTATATATATATTTTAAATAGATTATACACTAGGCTTAAAACCGC